TCATTGAACGCCAGCTCCCTCATGGAATCCGACAATCCATCCAGAGCAAAACGCTGTGGCCCACTCCGAGACCTCAAAGGAGGAGGACCTGGTTGGCGAAACCTGAGCTTCGATACAGTTCTGCAAGGCGGCCCACCCAGGATGACATCCACCGTCCCTTTCTCACACAGCTCTGCCAAGAAGCTTACCAACTGGTCTGACAAAAGATCTTGAGATGGATCAATCATCTTGTCCAGACACAGCACCGTCCTCGATGAAGACTCCAGCCTTTTCTTCCACCAAGATGCATCAGGTCCAGAGAACAGGTGCAGTATGATGGACTCACTGTCCATAAGTCGTTTCCGTTGGTGTCGATTCAATGGCACCAACTCCCCCGTCCATTTCCCAGACGGAACCACACGAGCCAAAATTTCGTCTGGTACCTCGGGCCAAAGCTGTCGAAGCTCCATCAACCAGCGCCAGATGTTCGGCGACAGGTCACCCGGGTCACCCGCCTTCAAGGCATTGACTCGCTTCACCATCTCTGTCTCTTGCTCCTCCAACTCCTTGATCAAGCGACGTGCCACTTTCAGATCTACCGTCGGGCACCCAGCTTCTAGAAGCACCTCAATCTTGGCTCCCTTTGGATCAAGCATCTCAAACTCCTCACCCTCCCAAGTGACCTTGTAGCCGAGCTTCACGACCTTTCCCAGAGGAATGATAAGTTGGGTATCAAAGTCTGTCACCAAGGTGCCTGTGGATTGCACCTGTCGCAGCGTAGCCACTCCTGCTGCCAGCTCAACCTGAATAGGAAGCGCTTGTTCAAACTCGGCCTTCGATCGAGCAGGTCTGAGAATGTGCGTCGCACCGCCATCCAAAAGTGCACGAAGGTGACCATCGCCTTTGTTCACGGCACAAATCGAGACCGCTTTCACTGACGGCCTCAAAGACTTCAGCAGTTGCACCGCCTCCTTGACAAGAGCCTCTGCTGGAGGCGGATCTTGGCTCGCAGGAGGCAGAAACACCCCATTTCCACCCGACTGTGAACTCCCGCCCTCTGCAGTCTTCACCTCCGACTCCCGATTCTTCCGGTCTTCCGTCACCCCCTTCTTCACAAACGGAGTGTCCTTGACGGGGCAGTCAGGCTTCATGTGTTGAGTTGACCAAAATTCCAGCACCTGCCTTGCTTGCTCACCCCCTTCCATTCATGCGGGAATGTGCACTTGTGGCCTTTCTTGCAGCCGGAGTCCGACAGGAAGTAACGGCAAATAGGCTGGTCTGTCATGCTGGATTTGGAGTCACCCTTGCCACCCTTCCCTTCTGCCTTGCCATTCTTTCCATCTTTGCTGTCTCGAGCCTCCTTATGGTCCGCCGAGTCCTTGGGCTTCTCCTTGAAATCCTTCTTCACCAGGTCGTCCTTGCCGCCAAGTGCTTCCCCATCCAGAGCCTTGACCTTCACATTCTCCTTGATGGGCAAGGTTGAACCTCCATGGAAAACAGCCTCCCCTTCTGCCAGCAAGGATTCCGAGAACTGCTGAATGCTCTGCTCAGGAGGTGCAGTATCCACCCTCAAAGCCGCCCTCGTCACCGGCAATCTAAAAGCGACCTGCGGTGAATGCTTTCCCAACCCAGCCGCAAAGCGATCCAACGTAGATAGGAGGAGAATCGGATCTGGTGGTTGTATTCCGAGCTCCTGCACCCTGGTAAGCCACCTCCTCCACGAGCGCAAAGCCACCATCCATTCGCTCAGAGGCACTGGCACCTTCTGATCCACCAACTGCTTCAGTAGTGTTGTCCTCTCCCCCAAGCCTCCTGGTTGGTAGACACGAAGCATCTTGAACATGATGCCGATTGAGCCAACCTCACGCTGAGCAACCAGTTCCGACCTCAAAGATTCCGGCAAAGCCTTAAGCAAAGCCACTGAGCCACGCTACTCGATCCTCAGCCACGGAGCCACCTGAAATGCCGGAGGAGACACAGGTGCCAGGCGAAGTCTCTCCATGGGCTCCGAACCCAACCACACCCGGTAAAGAGCGCCCGCAACACGAAGGACCTCATCCCACCAGTATGACGAACTTGAACTCATGTCACGCAAGAACGGTCCAATGGTGGTGATCCAATCTCCTGCAACAAGGGGCCCACCTCCGACTCCGACAACTCCGGCAAAACTGGTAGATCGACTGCACGAATTGACTCCTGCTGTGCCATTAGTCCCCCAAGCCATGCTGGCAACTGACCAAATGGCTGTCCAGCTGCACCTCCTCCTGGTGGACCACCCGGAAAGCCTCCTCCGCCCGGCGGACCGCCAGGAAACCCTCCGCCACCTGGTGGACCTCCATGGGGAAAACCTCCACCTCCTGGTACACCTCCTGGTAGTCCTCCTAGAAAACCCGGTCCTCCACATGGAAATCCTCCTCCACCAGAATGTCCATCCGGTTCATTGGGAAAGCCTCCTCCATCCGGAGCACCACCTCCTGGCGAGTTGCCGCCAGCCCCTGCCGATGGCTCCCCACGCCGTGCACCTGAGCCCCCATAGCCGGAAGCTCCATCATTTCCCCCACCAGGTTGCCCTGCTTGAAGACCGGAACCTTCTGCAGGATCATGAGGTAGTGAATCTTGCCCCACACCTCCAGTACCCGGCCCAGAACTTCCTCCCAACTGACCACCAGATCGAGCACTTGGTTGCTGACCACCCCCAGAACCGCTCGAGACAGTCTGTCCAGAGCTCCTTTGTAGATGCGGTGCCAAAGAGCTCGCCGCCCCCGCCACCATATTGAAAACTTCCATCAAGCTCCCCCTTGCTGTAGGCCCTTGCCCTCCGTGAATTCCCGGTCCGTGTCCACCAAATCCTCCCGAAACAGGCCCTCCATAAACTCCCGAACCAGGATGAAGAAAAGGAAAACCACCAGACCTCTCACTAGGCATAGCCAAATTGCCCAACAGTCCTCCATCTCCAGGAAGGGATTGGGAAGTCATTGAACTCTTCAACAAGTCCATCACCATCGACATGGGGTTCCGATCCCAATCATGCCCATCGCCCATCATTCCACCGAGCCACGCTTGCTGCGGACCACCAGCTCCATGCGAATGGCCCCAAGCCGCATGCCCAGCAGACATAGCTTCCCTCTCCTGCCACAAACGAGCGTTCTCCTAGAGCAAGCTTTGAACCATCGCCCTAAAGGCGTCTAACTGCTCTCGAGGTGGGCTAGTCGAAGAGGTCACCTGAGGAAAAGGTTCCGTCCCCTCCTGAGGTAAGTGAGTCGGCCGACACGCACGAAGAATCGCCTCCTCCCGCACCGAGCCGCTCCAGAACGGGTTCACCTCAGGTCCTAGGGACACAGGAGGGCCAACCGGCCCTGTCAGAGCTCCATGGCTAGCCTGGATGTCCTCAATAGCCTTCGGGCCATTGGATTCCGGGGTTCGTTCGCTATTCCCTTCCGACATGGCTCGAAAGTCGAAAAAAAAGATGCGTCACTTTAGACTCATAACCCACTGTGCATCAAAAAGTAAACGCTCTTGTTTTCTCGGTCAAGAAAAGGACTCACGTAGGTCATACGTGTCACAAACATTCCAAAGAAAGAAAATCGCTATAATAATTAAAAACTATATTAAATTATTCGATTTTTAATGTTTAAACATAAAAATTTCAATCCTAAATCTATCAAATCTAAAATAACAATATATAATTTATCATAAATTTATATATATAAATGAAAAATCTTTTCATTCCATCGATTGCCAATCTTTAATATATTCAATTTATTTAATTTAATTATTCATTCATTCAGCTGCCAGCGGACGAGTGCAGTCCGCCCGTGTTAGGCCGCACGAGCCAGGCGTGGATCCTTCAAGAGAGTCGGGGGCCCACCCGGATGCAAGCATCATGTTAGGTGCTCTAAAATCGAATGGGGGTGTCTGAGGCCACGAAATGGATCATCGAAATTTAGTATGAAGCTCAATCATCGGTGCCAACCAAAGCAAGTAGATATTCTAATAGAAAGGCAAATCACGAACGAGACGAATTGGAAGGCTATTGTCGTCCCACAATAAGCCGGCTCCAGAGTTAAATCAAACGGCCTAGTAATGGCCATCAACAGGAGTGCTACCGATGTAGATAATATCAACCATAATCTAGAAATCAATCCAGGTCACTAAATAGTGGTTATATCCATCGAAAACAGGCATTTGGATGCTATTCCTTTCCCATATAATGGCCTAGTAATGTCGATAATGCAATCTCGAATAACGTGTTAGTTGCAAGTATACCCAAGAATTATTTGTTCGAAGACCATTCAAAAATAGTCCTTAATAATGCCATTATTAAATAGTTTCTTATAAAATCGTATAAATCTCAAAAAAGAATACAGACCATAAAAGAATCATTACGATAAAGCCTCCAAATATCAATTTCTTTTCAAACATCTAAATTTTCAACCAGTGTACGAATTTACCTACATCGTGTTACGCAATAAAAATATAAAAATTAAATCAAATTTCAAACAATCTACCTAAAATCGAACCATAACATAAATTATAAACCTCCTCTACATAAGTAGTAAATATATTCAAATTCGATTATGTCCATGTGTACTAAATACCAAATTCAAACGAATCATTAAAAAAATCGTTTATACCTAAATCAATTAATATTATTCAAATAACATAAGAATCCTATATTCATAAAAAAAATAATCAAGAGGCCTTTCAAAACTAACGCAATTAAAATCTTTATTAATTAATATCATTAAATATAACCGATCTCCACGTGCAAAAACATAACCAATCTTATATTAATCCGCTAACCTATACCCAAAATAATTCCCAATATTTTATTTATAAATAATATTTATATATATAATTATTCATTTAATTTAATATATCTTTCATTTATTGATTAATATATATATATATTCATCTATATAGATAATTAATTTGTTTTATTTATTCATTTATACATATAATCAATTTTTGAAAGTATGAATATATATTTCTTTGTTGAGTAGATTTATTTGTTTTTTTTTTTGTGATGATTTGTATTTCAAGATCTATTTCCATCTATCAATATGATATTGAATTCCTTTAGGTGTCCACGATCCTTGTCCTTGGTGAAGAAATTGTATTTTATGGAATGATTAATTTAATTAGTATCGATATATTTTAGATTTCTTGTTGATTTCCTATTATCATGTCATGATATTTTATGCGTATTTGATTTGATTCCACAAGGTCCCTAACATTATTAAACATTAAATTCCCCGAAATCAAAATCACGAGATACCACAAGAATCTTGAAGAACCGACACCGAGAATATCCAATTAGATTTGATGTCGTCAATGTGACACAAGTCTGGATTCGTCGTTCAAACAGAATCCACCGAGGTTTCAATCCTGAAATTTGGACTTGGTGGTCTGAGTCTAGTGTTGAGCGGCCACGTCAAAGCAATCAAACAAATGTGATCTACCTTCCTAAGCCCAGCAATCTTATATTACGTTTTATTACACTGCTCATCTGCGACATCGCAAAGACTGAGGTCCAGGCGGACGTCTTCCAAGAAATCCATCAGATTTTGCCTTACACCAGGAGATTTTTGGGTGAACTACAACCGCAACATTGTTGAGGCTCCCATTTCCACAGGTACTCCCACACCTCGGGAAACAGCATCACCTGGTGAGATCACTCTACGCGAATCACGGATGATGATGCACAGGTTCCACTCCCAACATTGGCTGCCTCGTGACTGGGTGAAGTTATGATGAGTTCTGTTGGCTGCAGGGTGGGACACTGACTCAGAGTTGGAGACCTTCGCGACACAACCAACGGCCTTTCACGACTGGGTTTTCAGATGAGCACCGCAGAATGTTTGAAGCCCATTCTCTACACTCATCGACCGCAAAGGTTTGAAGCTGTTCCTAGGGTTTTTGTTAAGCCGTGAAGTCGAATTCATCGATCCGTCCAACCGGGAGCAAAACCAGGTCACTGTCGTGAGGTAGATATGTGTTCATGGTGTGAGGTCACGTGAGGTCATCGATCTGGGACCGTGGGACCGTCGGTTTCGCAGAAACAGGTCGAAAGTTGTACCGAGAAAAAACGTGGTAGGAGTCCAATCCAGGATGTCAAAGTGAGTTGTTTTTGGTGACACATCCGTTTGTTTCTGGTTGCTTGGACATCTTTGTTGTGTCCAAATCACCAGTTCATGGCCACTCCCCTTTTTGGACCCAAAAGGCGCATGTGCTGGTAACCGAAAACGTCACCTGCCGAGGCGCATCGCAGCATCCTTGCTGGGAAAGGGATGATCCGTGGTGTACCTCAAAGGTGCTTTTTGTTGGGCGCAGAGTGACCTTGGGACCTTCTGCAGCATGTTCCGACGAAGTGACTCCGACGAGATCTCCCCGAAGACTTGGCGGATCAGATACTGACATCAACAAAGACTGGGGATTTTGATCTATACCTGGATCTTCAAGTGTGGAACAATGTTTGCCGTTTATAGAACCAGAAAAGGCAGAATTATGATTGTTGCATAGTTGGAAGATCCAGGTATACAAAGGCCAAGCGACACTGACAGTCATCAATTTTAGTGAGGATCATGGAGTCATACCCTGGTAAATGGAATCAAAACGTCAAGCTTGGCCAGTTTTTCTTTAAATGTTTTTTGGGGTTTTGGTGAACTTAATGATCCTCAACAAGGAAATGATTTGTGACAAGCTCCCCACCAAGCCTAACAGGCGTGGACAGGGTAGGCATCCGCACCACCTGGGTTAGGTCACCCCTGAGTGGATATATATATATATAACTATATATATATTGCGATTATATTATGTGTATAATATATATATATATTTATAACTATAATATAATATAACATAATATAACCCAGACACTCCATGTATGCCATATATGCCTACATTGACCCCCAAAACCACCGCAACTGATTGGCATATATGGCAGTCCCATGGCAGTCCCTGGGTAATAATATATATATATATGACTTGTCCGTTCCGAAAGGCCCAGTGGATGTGACTCTTGTCGTGTGCTTTGAGGTCTTTCCGACAGCAATGAACCACATCATCAGCCGAAACAGCAACAGATACCATAAGATGGTGTGAAAGAGGCAAGTGCGCTGCAAGACGGTGAAAGTCTGTAAGTTGTTTGGGACTGTCTATTTGTGTAAGTGTTGCATGCTCTTCGGGTCATCAGAAAGTCGACAGGTCCCCATTTGCCTCTAAAACACGGCTGAAACACCCCACTGGGCCCTAGCAGCTTCAGCAGGTCTTTCCACTACCAAACCGGGCCAAGGGGCCACCCGAAACGCTGGAAGGAACCTCGATCCGAAACCTGGTTGTTCGGACGGTGTGGACTCGAAAAGAAAAAGGAACCTGGATATCAACAAATCTATGGAGGTCCCTATGGATATCTATATAGTCTATGATGGTCTATGGATATATCTATATAGTCATGGATATCTCTATGGATATCTATACCAGGACCCTCCTGTCCGGGTGCCCCTGTCTGGAAGCCTTTTTCGGCAGTGTGGGGTAGTCCAGCCAGGACACCCCTTGATGGTCTATGTTTCATTGAATGCATTAATCACCTAAATTAAGAAGTAAATAAATGGATTCTACTGGATTATATAGCTGTGGGATACATGCGCATACAAATGATAACAGTCTGTGTTCCTCCAGGAGCCGTTTGAAATTGCCGCAAGTTATTACGATGCCGCTCATTGGAGATGAGGCAGCTGCAAGCGGACCGGGCACACAGGTACATATCGCAAACCAAGATTGAATAGACCCTGCATTGAATAAGAAACACTTTTAGCATATAAAGATTCAATATTAAATGGGTTGGTTCTATTCAGTTTTTGTCTGATATGCTAATATAACATATAAGTATATATATGGTTGTTATATGCTCAAAACATCTTCCGCTCGATGCTTCGCCCAGATGCATCACCCAGTCATGAAACATCCCTTCGTGAAGCCACAGGTCCATCGGCACCTGCCAAAGGGCGGTGGCCACACGCTGAGGCCACCCACCGAGTGTCGGTGACATGGTGGTTGACCCAAGTGTTCTGGTGGGAAGGAAACACGAGTCCTGTGTTGAAAGGAGAGGGCCACCGATGTTTTGTTCTTTTGGTTTCACCATGTTTCACCCCTTAGCTAAGGTGCCCGGCAGTGAGAGAAGAACCAACTCTCCACCCAAAGCAATGCTCACCATGCTCAAAACCCCGTGTTGGAAGATGAGGAAAGCTTTAAATCTGCCAGGAGCTTGAGATGGTCCATCGAAACATCTCAGCTGATCTTCTGATGTTCACATATGTTCACTTTCTATATAGACACCTAGTGTTGGTGACCAGCACCAATCTAAAAGCCAAAACAAACATGACATGGAACCAGCACATGAGTTTCCTTTACACAACTCCTGTGGCGGATTGTTGAAAAAACACTCCGCCCGACTGGACGAATGACCGAAACGGAGGTCTGGACACGGTCCGTGCCTCGGATGGATCCTGAATGGACCATCTATCCTGATCACTCCTTCCTGGTCCTTCGATCCTGGGCTTGCGAACAAGCATACCTAAGAAGCAATCGTTCGCCCAAGTGTTCGAGCAACACCCCCGAAAACGGATCTACCCTGCGTTCACTGCCCGGGCGACCTCCTGCACCTCGAAAACAATCGTCCGGACACCTCCCGGACACCTGGTGGAGTGGCGCGGAACGTCTCGTCCGGACACCGCGCACCGCGGAACACCGCGGAACGGTCGAGAGCCGTCTCGACGCTCCGCGTGATGAGTCAGGCCTTCCCCTGGAGCTGCTGACAGAAATCCAAGGTCTCCCCGCACAACGTCTCCGCCGCACCGGTGCAGATCCACATCTGGGCGGACACCGAGGAAGACGAAGACCAAGAGGGAGGGACACAGCCGGCGCGGGCAGAGGGGATGCAAGGAGTGGCGAAGCAGAAACTGGAGAGAAGGGGGGATAGTATCCCTGGAAAAATGGGTTCAGTTTCTGTAAGTTTGAAGTACGGAAACCCATTGAGCAATAGTGACACCTGCATGTCATTCAATTTCTCTTAGAAAGTTAGTCCAGGGTGACGATCGCGTCGGATAGGTCGCTGGGAGTCCCAAATTCCACACAGCTATAGTAGTAACTATCAGTACGGGGACCGAACTTCTTTTCCCGCGTTAGTTCGGTCACCAAATCTGCAAGTTCGGTCGGATGGGACTCCGAAAAGGTCACTCGGACATGAACATGCTTTATTCGATCAAGCTCCATTTAGCGCAATTAGCGCAGCACCATTCAAGACTCGTCTCCTGCCATCAACTTCCAATCAAAAGGAAACCCTCTTGCCTGAGGCATGCTGAGGCTCCACCCCAATCTGGGAAAATCTGGCATATTTCCCACCATTTACGCCATTTAAATACTATGATTATCAGTCCAACCTCTTGTGCAACTGGTCTCCTATTCCGTTCTTCGATCCATCTTCTTCTCTTCCAAAAACCCCACACTCAACTCAAGCACCCGGGTACTTTATGACGTCGCCATCCGTATGCCCTCAGTCCAACTCACTTCGACGAGGCACCGGAGGCGGCTTCGAGGTGCCCTCGGTCAGGCGTTGCAAGAGCCCCGAGTTGGCTCCGCGCGCCAACCAGTAGGGACTGTAGAGTCCATCCTGCAAGAACCACTCGCCGAAAGGGCAAAAACAAGGAGCTCTGCGGTAGAAAGGGATACCAGGTAGTATAGCTCGCGTGCGCACGTGCGCAATTACAAGGCATGCCTTTTCTCGAGCGGGTTGCAATTGGTGCGCGCGAGCGCACCATCACAAGCATTAGCCGTCGGTGATGTACTGCTCCTTCCCGCTCTTGCTATCATCCAGCGGGGTTAGAACTGATGGGGGATACCGGATACCTTTCCACAGTTGTACGCGCAGATTGATGTGTACAGAGTTGCTTGTGGATCTCGAATCATAAACCGAATCCTTGCATCAGAGTGGAAACCGAGTGCACGGGCACCTGCACCAAATAGTGGACATGAAATCAATGTTTGTCTGCACTTCTATGACATCACACCCCATCCAACAAGAGCTCCACCTCTGAGTCTCTTCTGCCCCCATCGCCTTCAAAAACTCCACGGAGCCAGTATAGGTCAAGCCCATCCCTTAGAGATGGCAAACGGACTGGGATCTCAGACACACTCATGGTGACTGGTGACTCATGTAGCTGTCTTATCCCTTTTGGGGGAAGCTCAGGATCCTTCCAAGCGCTTCCTTCGTTCTCGTTCCAGGCTGTTTTTCCATTTCGTCACCCGATTCGTCACCGAGACCGTACTCCTGACCTCATAACGCTCATAACGTCCGACTTAGGCAGACTTAGGCATGTTTCAGATAGTTGAGCGTTGCATCACGTTGCCATGTTTTACGAACCTTCCGCTTCGACCAAAACCGTCCACCTGAATCCGGTCTTCCTACACGGCCACAACGGACCGAGACCGAACGAAGCCACCAACCGCGGTCCAGGCCTCCAAATTGGAAACCTCCATAGATTCCCGCTCAGTTGTGGTCCATAAGCAATGATTTGCATACCAACTCAAGACCTCTGATGATCGTTCACCCGCTTCTCAGTACCAAACCATCTGCATGGACTACCCAAAACCAGCAATCGTTCACTACCCGTCCCACCTGCCATCTCCAACGCCGCGCGTCTACCGTGTCGAACCGCTACCTCAAACCCGAACGCACGCGTGGAGCGCTGCGCGCGAACGGACCGTGCGTCAAGTGGCCCTTGAAGCCGGCGCGGTTCTCGTCCGCGTGCGCCCGGAACGCCACGTCGCCGGTGTGCGCCTCCGCGGCGAAGGCGTTGCTCACCTGGCGGAACGGACTGTTGACGAGCGAGAACGTTCGACGGCCCGGATGGCGTGGGTGAGGGGGTGGGTTTTAGGTGAACACATGATTTTTGGGTTGGAGGTCTAGATGGCAGGTGCTGGTGCTGCTGCTGGTGCTGGTGCAACACAGCATTTGAATAGCGGATTTATGGGAGAAGAGTTGCCGTAATGGGGTCGTAGATGGGGAACATGTGAAACATTGTGAAACCGTGTGCATGAAAATGCATGAAACGGCTTCATGAAACTATTCCATGGTCTCGGTACCACCTGAAGATATTCTCTTAAACACGTGCTTCTTTCAAGCTTTGGTGCTTACCAGCATGTTCAGGAGCGCGCTAGCGGTTGTTGGATTCCAGGAACTCTGGAAGAAACAGGAGGAGTGAACCTCGAGCCAATGGCTCCATTGGAACACTAGTGGCTACCATGGTGCCCAGCATCCAGTTTTGGCGACCTTGATCCAATATTTCGACATGACCCCAACCAACTCAAAATGTTCCGGTTCCCAACATTCTTTCAACTCTGGAGAGTTTCAATATGCTTTCACTGGTCTTTGCCAGCCGATCTTCTGTTTGGTGTGCACTGAGCAACTAACACTTTGCCCACATACAGATCTACAGTCATCACCGCTTCAACATTGGGTGCCCCGTCAACCACTGTTGGATCACCTGATAAAACCACTGCTGGACTTGAGGAACATCCTGGACAGGAAGCTAAAATGAACTTTTGGGTGTAGTACGACGGCGGCAGCACACATAACATCACGAAACACAGTGTGACACGTTTTGTTCACTGTCTCTGGGTGAAAAAAAGCTATGGCATGCTATGGAAAAAGTGAAAAAAAACGCAACAAAACAAAACCAAAACCAAAACAAAAAACCACAACGCTATGACCTGGTAGTTTCAGAGACTACTACCCGTTACTACCCCAAGGCCGGCCCAAAGCCTCCCATCCTCCTTCTCTACCAAACATCCCATCCGTTCGGTCACCGCGACTTCTACGAGGCGCATAGGTGTGGCTACCGCAGGAGAGGTCCAACCAAGGAGAGATCAAGGCCTGACTCATGCAGAAACGGATCGATTCACTGCGGATCGATGGGCCGATGGATCGATGGCCGTTTCAACCGATTCGAAGTATCGAAATCCCCTTCATTCTTGAAGAAGTCTTCTATAAGTCTTTCCTTCTCTCAATGGAACATCATTTGGAAGGGATGTTTCAAAAGGTCTGATGCTGCTGATTCCGACTTAAAGTCATGGTTGAGCATAGTTATTCTATGTTATTCTACTCTGTATCGATGCCATCCTTCAGCATCGTTTGTTCTACTCGTCACGCCGATCCGAACGCGGCCGCCGCATGTGTCGGATGAACGGATGTCGCAGTCGCAGTCGTCGTCGTCCACGATCAAAAGAATGGGTCCAGCTCCGAGTGCTGGGATCCTGATTGGTTCCAATTTAGTCTAGGAACTTCCAATTTAGTGACTTCACTGCGCAGCTGCGCAGCAGAGAAGAGCAAAACTCTACCCCAAACAACCAGGAAGACCTTCCAGTCGGTCCCAAACAACGCTGGATCGGACTGCAGAGTCGGGCCATCCCTCCCTCCTCACTGCAGGTCAGGGGAGTTCCTTCGTTCGTAGAGTGTCCCTTCGTTCCTTCGTTCCTTCGTTCAGGTGAACCCGGTCACCGTAGGGTCTCCGTAGGATCTCCCGGTCACCGAGTCCGTCCGTCCGGCATGTGCTGTGAGACGGACGGGGGTGCTATGCGTCTCAGCGCAAGCTAGACAACTTGGAACACCCTTTTTCCAAACGCTCCAACTCACGAACGCAAGGAAGTGGTGAAGCACCAAAATTCGGATTGATATAACATAATTTAACGAATTATAACGGCATATATATATATAACCTTGCCAAAAGCATCAAAATGCAATGCAAGACAATTCAAGAAAACACATACTATCCAGCCACAAAAGCATCAATTTAGATACGGCCCATGGAACATCATGTAACTACCAATTAGTAAGCCCTGATTCAAATTGTCTGCCCAAGCGGCAAGCCCCCTGATATTTAGCTCGCGCTCCAGCGAATCGTCCGAGAGGATTTGCAGCAGCAAGGACAAGGCCTTGTGGATCCGGCTGAAAGGATAGTGATACGACGCTTGCGTCTCGGTGTTTGAGGTCATCTACTCATGTCAAATGTCGCCTCTGAACTCCTTTTGGTTCAGCTTCACCTAGTTTCACTGTCTAGGTTGCCTCTTACACGTCTTGAAACAGGGAGATCCCAGATAGATTTGCCGGGTTCGGTTCGGGACATAGATGTATCTACCCAGCGACGCTTCGGCGGCGAAGGCGATCGGTCTCCCGAACACCCAACGACGCCAAGCTGGTCGGAGCATTGGTTGAAAGATGTTGAAAGCATGAGCATGTCAGGATGTCAATGATGAATAACCCCCACCAAATCGTGGATTGCAAAACCAAAGTCACAAGTCGCGGGGTTGAAAAATCATTGAGAGTTTACAGTAGGTGGACGCATCCGATCATGTTGACTCTTGCTAAACCCCCCAGAGCTCATCCTGGGCAACCTGGCAGAAAATCACCACTTGAACTCACCAGTCACCATCCTCAGCCGAGTCACCATAGCCACTAATCCCACCTCACCATACATCACCAACCGGCCTCTACCAGAATTCGACCTCGTCACCTCATCCGCTCGTCTCGTCTTCGACCTCGCCCCCCCCCATCGCCGCTCCGCCGCCGTCGCCGCGGACCGCGGTCGGCGCCTGGTTGGCGCCGGCCGAATCGCCGGCCAGTAGCAGCGAGGCCGGTGCCGTACGCCGCTCGAGGGCGACGGGATCGAAACGGCTCACCCAGCGGAGTCCTGGGTGAAACGGGTTCCGAAGCGGAGAACGGGTGAAACGGTGAATGCACATGATGCTAAAAGTACCTTAGTAGGCATCAGAAGCATCACTTTCGACAAGAATTTGAAGGTCTGATGTCTTGGGGGTTTAATATCCCATTGAAGAGCTGACCGTGGGCGGAGGCTTCACATGCTTGGCCCCACGCCAATTAGTCGCCTTCAGTCGCGTGGACCCGCGACGAGCGGGTTCTCCAGTCCTTTCATCAGCGCAGCGAGGATCTCGGGTGCCTTGTAGGGCCTCCGATCCCCTGAAAGCGGATGGTCGCAGCACACCACGATCTGCCCTGGAGAGGAGGGGGGCGGAGGAGGGGCGGATGGCCAATGGCATGTTTTTTTCTTTGTTTTACGAAGAAAGCGGCTAAGAGCAGGATCCAACAAATGGAGAGAAGGAGCTAGAGGAGGAGCGTTTGTCCACCTGACAAGAAGCCAGCTTGAATGGATTTGCATCGATTTGTAATATTTATATATGTTCCTGTTGCTTAGATAAGATATGCTATATATATATATTATATAATGATAATCGTGAAGAAATCAACCGTCAAATTGACCAGGCCAAGTCGTGCAGGTCCCTCTCAGTCAGTTACTCGTTGAGCAGAACCCAAGAGTTCACCCCCCGACCCACCCAGTGAGTTCACCACTGGAAAACATCACTGCTTTGGTTCACCATTGGTTTGTAGGAAGAAAACACACCTGTTCTTCGGTGGATCGGGCCGCCCCCTTCATGCCACGCACGGCGACACGGAAAGAGCCTGATCCACTCGCCAGTCTGGAGCACAAGGAGTCATAGCCATCCTCCCGTGGGCCGCCCCACTCGAAGCCACCGCCATGGACGAAGAATATGCCTGGAGAAGCTGAGAAGCTGTCCATGAGAAAAGAGCCCTTTGGTACAAGGGGCCAGGGGGCTGGGAGGTGGCTTTGAGTATTTGTGGCTCTCTTGCAAAATGGCTTCAAATGTACATTGGATTTGTCTGTTGAGGTAGGTAACATGCTGCGGAGGTAGGTGAAAGAGTGAGTTGCTGGCTGCTACTGCCGATGTCCATTGATGGGGGACTTGAAGACGTCCTCAAAGCAGAAACTGGTCGTGCTGGGATACCTGTAATTTTGAGCAAACATGAAGAAAGTACACTGTATAGATGAAATTAGATGAATATCATGGATCCCCTCCAAAGGATTGAAGCTTGAACAAGTCTCATCATGCTCGCACATGTGAACAGCATATGCACACATCGGCTCCTGGAGTTTCCTGCATGTGTTGTTTGCTGTTTAACACGATTCCCTGGACTGATTTTCAGCACCCTAGTGTTGGGATTGCATCAGGCCATTGCTAAAACTTATTCCAGAAACTCCCATGTATGCCATATATGCCTACATTGGGGTGGTTTTGGAGGTCAATGTAGGCATATATGGCATACATGGAGTGTCTGGGATTGATGTTTTGAAGATCAGAAACAGTTTGATCCACGCTTTTACGGGTACCATTGATTTTCCCGGTTCCTGTGTAAATCCCCGAAACTGAGGAACATGTTTAATGTCCTTTTCCCGAGTCCTCAAGTAAAACGAAACAAACCCACCGGGCAGGGGGTTTAATGATGGAGAAATAGATCTGATGGAACATATGGAACCTCCTGATGAGGCACCCCAAGCAACATGCAAAAATGCAAAACACATGTTTCGTCTTCGATCTCGGCACCACTAGGTTAAAGTCTTTCGCTTTTACCGTTACCACTGACTCTACTGCGTGTATGCAGTCAGTGTCCCCCTTTGTGCGAAGTCGTGACGGACAACCCAGTACAACTGGGATAAACTGGGTAGATGTCTCCAGCTTAACCAGGCTCCTCACTCGCCAAAACACATGGCGAGTTAGCACCAGCACTTTTGGGAATGAAGGCCACAGCACCACCGCGCGTGGCGTCCTAAGTGACGGGGGGCTGTCCCAGATCCGAGCACGACAATTTTTTTGGGGGAGGACTTTTGACTACAACGAGAAAGACTCACCTTGGACACCAAATTCCATCTATGGCCAGAAGCTGTAGTCAATTTTTATGCGCTCCTTCACTTACTTACCCAAACCTTTTGGGGTAAAAAAACAAAGAAACCATATAAGAAACCGATCCGTGGACCCGTGGGGGCTCGTGCACCTCAAGCAGTGGTGATGCCTGGCTCGTTCGGATGACTTGTTCGTTCTGAAGTCTCCAAGTTGGCATGGCTCATGACGTAAGCTTTGCTAAGCTTGATGGATTATGGCATCACGAGGGTTTATGGGTTTGCCAGGGTTGGCAGGAATTCGTGGTGCCCAAGCGCATCGGCACTGGTGCATTCAGGCATCCTGGATCCTGCAAGTCAACCAACCTCTAAATAGGGTCACAAAGTGACCAACCACGTGTTGAGACACCTCACAAGGAGTTTGTTTCCAGGATCTCCCCCCCCTTTTGGTCACCCCGTGGATTGGACATTGGATAGCGCCTGATTGTCCATATCCCAGACACTCCATGGGACTGCCATATATGCCGCACCAATTGACCCCCCCTGGCACCACCACCCCAATGGGGCGGCAGTCCGGCAGTCCCATATATGGCAGTCGTGTCTGGGTCGAATCATCGGACGAACTCGCTGTTTTTTCACCCGAAACCACCACCAACACCACCACCAGCACCAGCTCCAGCACCACCTTGTTCGACTGCTCAGCCGGTCGACGGTCCGGTCCGAACCGAGCCACGTCGTTCCAGGTATCGGTCCACACGGGCCACTCCGCCTCACAGGCGGCGCGGGGCGGCCGCGAGCGAAGCGCCAGGTGTTCGGTGTTGGGAGCTGAGCATCGGATTTCTTCATGAAAGGCTGCAGTTGTTGGACATGTTGGCCACTGTCATGTCAACAACAGCACCGTTTTGACGCTTAAGCTTCCTTATTTTTGGTATACGATTGCTTTGTCCTGTAGCTCCATCACAGCACTTGAACATCATGTGACATCACTGGCGCACTTCGCGCCTCCCCTTTGTCTTCTGGGCCCTTTCCTGCGGCAGCTTGGCTGTGCAGTTTGAGTGCATTCACCACGTCCCACACCCTCGTTAGGATGGGTTCCACGTGAGACATGCAAAGTGTAGAAGCGAGCAATGAGGCATCACAGCATGAGGGGTGGCATTTCGACCAACCGACAGAGGCCGCGGGCCGCAGAACACCAAAAACCCCTCCAACACAACAACTCTTCCTTGAAACGGGAAGAAGCACGACTGGTTTCTGCTCAAAACATCTGCTCGTCCATCTTCTTCACTCCGAACTTCTGGACATTTCATGGGCTCCCCAAGTGGAACATGGTGGAACCCTGGCGAGGCCGATCACTGCCCCAGCACTGCCCCTGCCCCAGCACTGCACGCGGAAAGCAAAGCCATTCATCCGCACTTTTTTGGCCTGTTGAAGGGGGGCTGGGATCTTGCGTTGAGATGTGTTTAGGAAAGACATAAAGACATGAATAGAACAACAATCTATTCACATGGAAGGAAGAGCGCTCTTGGCTTCATTTGGGCTGCAGCATGTCGCCTGACCTGGTTTTCACCGGGCAGCCGACCATCCAGGCAAACCTTGGGCAAAAACACACCTACAAAACCCCAGCAACCAGGTGAGTCTCTATTTGAGCTATACACCATGCTACACCTACCTTCATCCAACTTCTCACATCTTCTCTCAACCCTCCCAACCCTCGAAAACCCTCCCAACCGCTGCGGACCGGCCGACCCGGAGAGGGCGGACCGCCCAGACCTGCCATGAGCTCCACCATCGTGACGTCTGCTTCAATGCCGCGCTGCAGGTGCGAGTCATCCTTCTCCGCCTTGGGTCGCCGGGTCGACGGCATCGGGGCATTTCCCGGAGTGGTCATGGGGTTTGAAAGGACCCACCCCTGACCTATACAGCAACTATACCGTGTTCAGGGCAGCAAAAGAGTCCACTGCGTGGTCTTCACTCTTGAGGATTTCCTTCAGGTTTGTGAGGAAGTGGGCGAACTGGTGTTCTGTATATGGTGCAATGATATGGTGTCCATTTGTTGAGGCAGCACACATGCGATCACCTCTCAAAGCTGCGATGTCCAGCGGTGCACACCGAGAAAATCAAACCCGTCTCGCCCCGGTTCCCGACCCGAGTCCGACCCGCGACGGCCGGCGGAAGGCACACTACCGCTCCGAGTCCGACGCCGCGCGCCGACGATGCGTTCGTCGATGCCAAGTGTCCACGAAGGCTTCAAACAAAATGGCCAGGGCCGACTGGTCGCGCAAACGTGCAGCTTTGGTGTCGGGCGCGGCGCCTGCGGCGATTGGACTGATCCCCTTTTGTGGGATGGACATCCTGAAGAAGAAGTGCCACTGAAACGACTGTTGAAGGCAACCTGCATATCTGCACAAATTCTAATGTGTTGGATAGTTTGATCCCACTAGACAGTGGGATTTCTACATTGTACCTTGCGCAGAGTGTGGGAGAGGTTATTTTGTTGAATCAACCGTCTATACCACTGCCGGGGTGGTTGATGGACACCCCGAATCACCTCTAAGGAGCTATCAATGGAACCCCCTTAGAGGATCCTGGTATATTATCAACTGTTGAATGTCCAAGGTTTCGCAAGCTTGCAGTATAATCAAAACAAGTACACCCGGGAAGAGGCCCACATGGAACCTGATGGCATGGACCAGACTGGAAGACTATTGTCCTCTACAAACCATTTCAGGTTCCATGTTAATTTTCCAGAGCGTAAATATGAATTCGCAAAATGGCCGTGGGGCAACATTTGGGCACCGTAGTTCACTACGCCCTGCTTCATGTGCAGACTCGCAGCCAAGTATGCTCAACTCCCCCTGACATTCCCCTGACAACCTAAACCAAAGAGCTTCATGCCGCAAGGATCTGCAATGCATGCCCCTCTTTGAAATCAATATAGTACACACATATTATAGCAGCGCAACCAACTCTTCACACGGAAAGAACATGAAAGAACCACAGCAACTTTCACTGATTCGATCCTGGTCCCCAAAAGCCCAGTGCCTGGCACTTCTTCAGCTGGCTCAGGGTCCGGTCCAACCGCCATCGAGCCCGCAGGCGCGGGACGCGTGCAAAGGGAGAACATCTGCGGAACGGGGCGCAGTTCTGCCGGCTCTTCAAGCTGAGATGGAGAGGAAGGACCGGTGTTCTCGGTGTTCGGGCTTTCCACACGCCTTTGGGATGAAGTCTCGCTCTGTCGTGTGTCCTCTGAGGTCTCGCTCGGCTGTGTCTCTGGTGTTTGTGTCTCTTCGCGGGCAGGACCTGGTCGGGCACCCGCAGCTGCAGCCGTTGCGGCAGAAAAGGCGCTGGTGGGACCGTGTCGGACCACCCTGGAAGGAACAGCAGCAACTTTTGGAACACTCATCCTCGGATTTGCTGGTGGGGGCTGGAGAAAAACCGACAGATTCACCCAACACGTGGTCCAAAATGACATTTTCCACCTCACAGATATGATTCTATGATCTCTTTGTTTCCAAAGGAGAGCCATCCGAAGTTTGATGCTCCATCTTTAGGGGGAAACCAAAAATCAGATGTTCCATCACATTCCAGGGCTCCCAGGTGGCAGGTGTGGCATGTAAGCGACCGCCCCAGCAGAGTAGTAGATGGGAGCAACCGGCGTGCCAAACACCGGGCGCGCCGCACCCGGGCGCGCCGGACCCGGGCGCCAGGGACCCGGGCACGGTCGGGCACCGCCCAGTGGCTCGCCATAGGTAGGGCGGTCCGGTGAAGATGGAAACATGGGGAGCCCAAGGTCAAAAAGAACAAACACCTAGCGCTTCCTCGTCGGGGTGCCCTCTCTGGAGACCTGTGAGTAAGGTAGTCGAACGCCAGGACACCCATTGGATGACCCTGGTAGTATAGCTTCTTAACAATTGTTACTAGTAGTACGGCCAGGAGCGCCCCGTTCGTAGCGTCCGATCGCTGCGTTCGTAGCGATGCCCTTTGTTACTAGTAGCTTCTTGTTACAGTAGAAAGTATTCAGCCAATCATTGGTTGATGTGGTTTGGAATCTAACTGACCATTCAAAGACATGAACATGTTTGTAAAAGTAGCAAGGCGATGATGGCGAATTGTCTGCTAATTTACAGCAGAATCAATGGCAGAACGATGAGACTTGCTCCGATCTGACCGACTTTGGCTACGTTGGAACCACATGAGAGAGAGAGAGAGAGAGCGTGGAATGCACATCGTTGATTGGGCCCTGTAGCAAGTGCAATGACCCATTTTGCAAGAACCCCTTGCATCCTCTCAGTTTGAAAGTGACTTGCTATTCCTGTGTGGGTGCAACATGCGAGGTGTACACACAGGAAAATGCAGCCATCCCCCCCCCAACAATTTATAGACTCCAACTGGCCCTATTTGCAACTTCCATTATTGTTTCAGTGAGTGTACCTATTTCTTCAGTACGTGACTGAACTTCATCCTCGGGTTGGTTTGAACAAACAGACCTGTCAGTTCGGCAAGAAGGGGAGTGACAAAGAGGAACCCCAGAAAGGTCACAAGAAGCTGGTACATCTTACATACCTCCTCCCAAATCCCAAATCCTCCATACCGCCCATACCCTCTACATTACATCGCATCCCCACCCTAAATGTTTTTACAAATGCACCATAGTAGATCATGCAAGTTATCCGAAATAACTCGTGAATCAAATTCAATCAAATTTTGGGAAGCGTGCCACTGACCAAGCTTGCTTCGATCGCAAGACTCATTTCTGTGATCCACATGATCTGGGTGAGACTCTTCGTCGATCACTTGAGGGGTCCGAAGCCTGTAACTGTAATACATTGCATGTAATAAGAACAAAGTTCGCGTAGACTCTGAGCAACTCTCATTCACTCAAGCCGCCTCCACGGCATCTGGTTACAGGCGCCTTTCCCCGCAATGCGCAATGCGCCTCCCAGTACTGCGACACTAAAATCACCTAAGAACCCACCATCTCATCTGCTCAAACTCAGCGAGTGTGTGGCACCATCCCTACGCCCTCGTTGAGTGAGTCCATCGTGGCAGCCAAGGCTGAGCATGTGAAGCTGACTGGTCTATCAAAGCTCTAGAGGTGACTTCGGATTCAAGAAGGCCAGCAGCGAACCTCAGACTGCAATGATTTATCCTGTGTGGCCTAACCCGCGACAATCCCGAGCCCACACGCGGGTTGACACCGCGCAAGATGAAGGGATCAAACAAAACCCCTCTGGCCAGTCACGAAAAAGGGTTCAGGTGATTGACAATGTCCGACTCTCGATGAGGGACCCTCCAAGTCTTCCACTGAGCTATTCAGACTTCCAGAATTTGTGACCGATGCTTCTTCGAAATCCATCGGATGATGCAGATTGGGCAAGTCGACAGAGTGATCGACGAACGTGAACGGATGAACTGGAAAGGCCAACCCACGGCCAACCCCTGAAAACTCAGCGCCGGGACATCTGCGGTGAGAAGCAGAACCATTGAAGTTCTCATCGTCTGTTCCAGGTCCAACCCAACTTGATCTGCTGCAACCACACCTGCCACGAACAGAACTATGTACAAATGCCGCCCGTCCGCGGCCGGTTCATTGACAGAAGCGATCAAACCTGGGTGAAATGCAGGAAACCAGAGCATCCATGTATGGACTATAGTTAATATAACATATACTGTACTCATTTATTTACACCAGGGAAATGACCCAAATATAGCCAAATGTCAGGAACTATTCCATACATTCTGGGGAATGAGGTTTGGAAGTCATTCGCTGCATCTGGGTGCCCCAGCGCGCAAGAGACCAAACTCCACAGGTGGCCAAGATGATTGAGAAACATCTTTACATCATCAGCTTCCGAGACGGTCATGCCTGAACGTTGTCTTCCACGACTTCACCACCTCTAACATTGGGTAATCCCTAAGCCTAAGCAATTTCCAAAGAGAAATCCTTCGTTCGTCGCACGTCCCGGCGCCATCGCTGCCAAAGGCACAAGAATCACCTTTTTCCACTTCAATCGAGACCTCGAAGCTGGAGGCAGCTGGGTGGTGTTCGAGAAATCCCAGTCAGATCCTCAACAGGTTGCCCCTGTTTTCCAGGTGGCGGGTGCAGTGACCCTCCTTGGTTGCTTTTGGTAAAAGATATTTTTGCTGGAGGAGTTGTGTGACCCCTACAACCTTGACGATATTACCCAGCTGATTCAAGGTACCCGACCTGAGCAAAGTCCTAGGATTAAGACCTCGTGCAAATCCGTTTTGTCACATTGTTTGGATCACTCAGATTCTTGGCGGAGGATTCCAGTATCTTCCCGGGCCCGTCATGGGGATGATGGAATAGCTTGTGAAAGCAGTGGATCTCAAAGCTTCTTGGAAACTGCATGAGGTCACCAAATGAGTGCGCTTGATCGGAATTGTAATCAGAACGAACAACATACACATTATATAGGTCCAGGGGCCGGGGTCACTATGAAAATGCCAACTCATCATGTCAGTTCCAAAGTCTAAGATGTAGTCTAAGAGCTCTGGAGCTTCATTTGGTTCCTGGTTGCTTCAAGAAGATATCCGCTTAGGATTTGCTGAAATTTGCCATGAGTTCATGTGGCATGCTTTCATCGCGACAAAAAACCGCAGGCGAATTCACCATGGATCGACATGTGCACCGAAGAAAAACATGGTGGCTCAGTGATTAACCTTGCAACTTTCAGATGATCTACTATAGTGGCCTACCTACTCAAATGTAAATGACTCCGCAAATCATGCTGCGAGATGACTCCTGTCAGTCCTGTGTCATTGGGACTTCGAAACACCTCTCTCACTCAACCTGGGCTACGAGCGCGCCGACCTGCGCTGTCTCAGCTGTCTCTGGGCCAACCCAACTCAAAGTCGAAGCTCACTTCGCGGATCAGCCTCGGGCGGCTCGGGCGAGTTCGCATCTCACACGGCGGAGGGATCGAAGGGATGTATCGCGTGAGAGGCGACGATCGTTACGCGCATCTCACAAGGTTCCAGGTGATCCCTGCTGTGTTGTTGTCATTTTTTTCATATATCAATGCGAAGAACAAGGCCTTGCAAGGATCAAGGAACATCTTGCCACAAAGAGGGAGAACTGAAATGCCTAGCTGCTCACTGTTAAACACGTGTTACATAAATACATAAATGGGGCAATCAAATAGACCCACGCCCAAGCCATGACAAGCCCGACAAGCCGTCTCGATCATCAAAGATCAGCAAAAGATCGGCTGATAGCACTTTCAGCTCTTCATCGTTATGCCAGTTGGTGCTGTTGCCTGGACCAACTTCCAGCACCGGCAACACCCAAACGGTGGCACCAATCTACTGTATCTTGGCCTCAAAATCTGCTTGGCGCCCAATCCAAAGACAGAATGTGCAATCCCTTGCGAATTTGCTACTTTTAGAGAGTCCCCAGAACCTGAACATGGAAAGACCCCCCTGAACGACCACCAAATCTTCATCTTGTCCGAGCTGAGAACATTTGACATATTGAAGCCCCCTTTACATGACCCGGGGTGCTCTTTGGTGTGCTCCGGTTGATACCAAGGCCTTAAAACTTCCTGGTTGATGAGAACGTGCCATATGAGATGACTTGTTCATCCAAGATCCAACAGCTAGTCATCCCCGCCAAAATCCACCACGGAGTCGCTTGTGCACCGCCATTACATTCTTGCAAGTGCCCGTCCACCGCAAAGCAGCGCGCCCTCTGCATGGTGCCCCCACTGGGTAAGCTGATGCAGTCGAACTTCAGAAATGTGAAGTGGACGGGAGAGGTTGTACCTCAGTGCAGATTGTCATCCAAATGATCTAACTGGACATGACAATCAACTGGGTGATTCTTGGGTACAAAATCGCTCATGCCTCATATCCAAAAAAATTGTATACAATAGACAGCGCGGGCAACCCGGCCTGCTATTTCGCGACCAGCCGGCCGGCCGGCCAAGTAGTAGTAGTAGTAGTAGGAGTAGGAGTAGTAGTAGTAGTAGTAGTAGTAGTAGTAGC